GATGAGTTGATCATACGATTCCAGTAGACTTTGAAGTAGAAGTTTAGCACGTTCTTGTTCTCATATTGTACATCTTAAAGATGTAACCTGAGAAAATAAATTGTTCAGTGTGTTTAAGTGCTCCGTCACTGAAGTCGATTCTGACATCTGGAGAGTATACAATTTTCTCTTAAGGAAAATTTTATTGTGCAACGATGTGGCCTCGTACAATTTGGTGAGATGATCACATATCTCCTTAGCTGTCTTCTTCTCCTCGATGCTTGACAATACTTCATCTGCTAATGCTAGATGTAAGTTTGTCATAGCATTCCCGTCCATCTCGTTCCATTTGCTGTCATCTGTGAAATCCACCGGCCTTTCACCGATAACCGCTAGACACCCGTCTTTCCTCATGATGGCTTTCATCTTCAATTTCCACAGTGAGAAATTTCTCCAATTGAATTTTTCAATATCAAATTTCGTTGTCATAGCTTCTATTACGGATAGCTCTCACTATTTCACTATCGTGAATAGTTCTCTGGAACCTTCAAAGAATGAGTAATACCTTCTTACTTTCTTATGTTGGAGGATCCACCTTTTGGTGGCAACCACAAAGACAATAAGCAGATATTACACACTCAAATCTGGCTCGGATACCAATTGTTGCGGAAGACGGTTATCGGATAGAGGAAAATCGCAACTGATAATTTGAGAAAATAAAAATAAAGATAAAAGAGACACAAAATTTACGTGAAAACCCCCTAAATAATATAGGGTAAAAACCACGAGCAACGGTAGAAGAATTTCACTATGAGAAAATAGGAATTACAACATCTCTCGATCTACCAAGGAGAAAACAATGATAATTATCTCTTGATAAAAAGGAGAAAACAACTCTCAAGAAACTATCTAAATTCTCTAGTATTAGAAGAAAGTTAGAATGCTTTGGGATGGTTTTGTAGATAAATGAGCTAGGGTATTTATAGTTGAAGCTGAAGGACTAATTTGTAAATACCCTAAATTACAATGACTAAAATTGAGATTTTACTATTATTGAAAAATCAACAATTGCTGTTATATTTTCGGTGCCACCGAAATTTCATGTGCAAAGCCATCACTTGGATTAGGTGCATTAAAGCACCGATTTTTCCTTTGACTTTCAATAGGTCAGAGTTCGTGCAGGCTGCACCGACTATGAACACGACAAAGGCCTTTTCCACACATAAGGAGATACAACATCACGTCGGTTGCCGTTGTCGTTAATGTTGCCGTCTTTCTTCTGACCCTCCATTTTTCTTTTTTGGTTTTTTGGATTTCAGATTGACAGTTTCTTCATGTCCAGGAAAACTGGAGCTTTTCAAGTTAAATCATTGGAACTTAACGTTTCTGTTGACTGCTGTAGTAAACAAATCAAGGATTGGACTCTATTCTAGTACCATGATTTTGTCTTAATTAAAGTTGAATTATGTTATCTCATTATTAATAAAAACGTGAATAGAGAAAATTAATATGAGAAATTAGATTTTTTAAATACTGTAAATGAAGAAAACTAAGAGAGTCATCCCATAATAAACTTACACAATACTTGATTTGTAATAATCCATCAATAGATTAGAAATGAATGCTTATAAAGAAAATATAATTTCATAATATACTACATTACTATTGTTTCGATCATTGATAGACTTTAAATTTGGTGATAGATTTTGAGGTGTAACTCAAAACTTTAAAAATTTAAAGGTTTAAATTAATTTTTTTTTAATTTAAAGAGTTCAATTTACATTTTTTAAAAAAATGGGGTCTAAATTAAATTTTTAAAATTTGAGATGCTTAATTAGAATTTTTTAAAAATTATGAGAAGGGTTTAACTATCAAAAAATTTAAAGCTTAATGCGAATTTTTAAAAACTCTGTGGGGCCAAATTATATTTTTAAAAAAAAATTTAAGGGTCTAAAACTGAATTTTTAAATTTTTTTTGGGACCATAGCCCCCACTTATTTTCACCACCGTGTACAATTAATAATTAATCTATTAGTCGATTAATTCGAATTGAATCTTATAAAAAAAATATTATGAGAACAATTTTTTCTAGTATTTTCATTTCACAATATCAAGATTTGAACCTTAAATTTTATTTAAAAACTCAGGGTCTCATTCACTAACTCAATTAGTAATTGATATCATTTCCACCTCAAGTCATCTTAGGGAGAATTATTAATTAAATAATGCCTTAATGTTATTTAATTATTTATTTGATATATATACACATACTCATAATTTTACTTATTAGATGTCAATTGGATAGGCAGATAAAAGAGTAATAATTTTAATTAATGTGAAACTCTTCCAATTAATAATTTTAATTAAACTTATTTTCCCAACAGAAGTAGGAAATATTAGTAATGAAAGAATAGGAAACAAATTAAGAAGAGATGAGCATCTATACATGAATAACATAAATAGTTCATATATATATATGGGATCATATTACATAATGCAAAATTGTTTTAGTTTTACACAGAGTTAGGACCGTTGGATGAGTGAAAATAGATGACTGAGATTGACAGTATGATATAAAAAGATATTCACTAGAAAAAAAAAGAGTCAATTTCAATAATATATTTTCACTCATCCAACTGTCCTAAATCGGTATAAAACTAAATAATTTTATATTGTGTAAGTAGATCTTAACCTATATATATGTGGCTTTTGAATACACAATTAATTTTATTTTTTTAATTAAATATTAATTAATTTTATTGGTTGTATTACTTCGTACGGATATAAATTAGAAGTTAATATTTTTATTAAATTAAAATACTTTCAAGAATATTAGAAATTTACTATTTGTGTAAAAAATGATTTAAGATATATAGTAATTTACATCCCAACTCTTCCTTATAAAGTATATATATAGAGTTAAAGCTTCACGGCATTGGATACCTTATGGGGAAAATTTATAGTAAAAGCCGTTCTGTTTTGGGCTATGAAACTCCCGATATTCATCGTTTTTTTCACTTTTGGTCTTGAATTAGGTCGGGGAAGTTCTGGGATCACTTACCTTTGCACCGAGATTGCCACCGGCATTGAGTTTGCGTGTAAGTCGATACCCAAAGAGAGACTCAAACACAATACGCAAGTTGAGGAAATTAAGAGGGAGATTAAAGTACTGCAACATTTATCTGGTGAGAGAGATATCGTAAGAATCAAAAGGGGTTTACGAGGATATCTTGTGCGTTCATATCGTAACGGAGTTGTGCCTTGGAGGCGAACTTTTCGATCTGATTATCAAGAAAAAGGAGAGACCATTGAACTGATGAAGATTATTGTGGGGATTGGGAAGACTTTCCATTCTCGTGGGGTTATGCACAGAGATTTGAAGCCTGAGAATCTTGTGTTTGTTAACAAAGATGATGCCTCTTCTCTTAAAGCTATTGATTTTGGACACTCCGTCTTCTTTAAACCAGGTATGTATGTGATCAGAGTTGTTACTTGCGTGACAAGTAATTTATTTTTACTCTCTTTCGGTGTTATTATAGGTCAATTTTTCAATGAGGCAAGAGGAAGTCTGTACTATATAGCTCCGGAGATGCTTCTGAATAAGGATTACGGACCCAAAGTCGATATTTGGTCTGCAGGCGTTATACTGTATATACTGCTCAGCGGTGGCATTCAACCGTTTAAAGCAGGTAAAAATATCGTCAATTATCTGCTACTGCTGTTGTTGTTGTGAAGATAATACCAAAGTATTGATTTTCGTTTTGCTTTATTCATTATGAACTTCAGAAACTGAAGAGGAAATGAAGAACTTGGTTTTGAAAGGACAAATGAATTTTGAATCGGAACCTTGGCTTCGAAGATCGGACTATGCGAAAGACCTTGTTCGAAAGATGTTACGAACTCGACCGTCCGAACGCTTGACTGCTAACCACGTGCTAAGTGCGTATGTGTTTCGATTTATGATTTTCGTAGCTGACTTTAGTTAAAGACTTGGTTTCAAGTGAAAATGCAGATCAACGTTTAACAATATCGCATGCTTTTGATTTGGTTCGGGTCATCCTTGGTTCTGCCAAAATCGGTCCCCGGATAAGGCTCAACTCCTTAGACCGAGAGACGTTTCCAGCAGCGAAAATAGGTTCGGACATAAACGAATGCGACCACACCAGAGTCTGGATACTTGAAAGATATCAAGAATAGAAGAAGCGAGTACAAAACAGAGTAGATGAAAGCATATATATGTACATATGTCTTAATTGAGTTTCAATATAGCCTTGTAATACATGTTTATGAAACCTTTTAAATCCTTATAAGACAATGAGGTTCATAATTAAATCTGCAATTATTGTTTTTAATAATATTGTTTTAAGGTTTGAACTTAAATGCTCCTTTTAGCAGAGTCATGTGTCATATCATTGCATTCCATCTTCTCCTTTTAGTTACGTGATAATTACATGTTTTAGCTAAATTTAGTTTTTTTTAATGATTTTTTGGTTTAATAATAGGTATCTGGAGATATGTATGGGTTAGGGTAGACCAGTTTTTGGCCAATAGGATTTTACCTAAGAAAAAATACACTCTTCACTCGAAATCCGAGTTGATATTGGTTAAGAAAATTGTCACGGGTAAAATTCACACCCGACTTTAATATATATATAATTTTTATTTTTATTCGATAAAATGTAGATCTAATTGAAAAAATGTATAGGGTGAGGAGTATTATTACAATTATTTCTTAATATATAAAGGTTAATTAAGCTATTATTTCGAGTCAAGACCGAGTCATTCATTTTTTATTATAAATTTGACAGAATCATATCCCTTAAAAACACGTTACTCAAAAAATTAGATTGTTTCAAATTAAAATTTATCGAGTCCAAATCTTATATATCAGACCTATTAATTTGTTTTTAATAAATTTTGATATTAATTTGTTTTAATATTATGTTATTTGTTTTTATCAAATTAATATTTCCATGGGTAACATCCTATCCATCAGTTTAAACATTTACTGGGATCATAAGATATACTAACGGACACAACAAAGACAGCCCAATAACCGGTTTTCCACTGATATTTCCCCTTTTCGCCATTGAAACAGCTGAAAACAAAAGCCAGATATGGCAACCAAGACGAGATTGGCTTCGGTTGCCGCGTTGTGGATTCTAGTTCTTTTTGGAACCTTAGTTTTGATTCAGGTACCCTTTCCTCTCCTCTTTATTTCCTTACCCAGGAAGAAAAAAGAAGTGAAAAAATGGGGTTCCCCCCTTCTTTTTGGTGTTTTTAGAATCGATTGAGCGACGCTGGAGTTTCCGAACCAAAGCTTAATCAGGTTTGTAGATTCCTTTCATGCAATTCGTCCTTTTGAATTTGTGAATCCATAGCGTATGTTAATTAAATTGAATTTGTTTCTTTTTTGTCCCCCTTTTTATGTATTTTTTAGGGCTTTGAGGATGATTCAGAGGAAATTACACATAAAGTGTACTTTGATGTCCATATTGATGGAAAATCTGCTGGTATGCTTTTATTTGATTTTCTGTAAAACTGGGATTTAATGTGCTAGTATAGTTGAAAGGGGGAAAAAGTCATCTAATTGATAGCTGGAATTATAAATTTAGAGTTTTTTTTGTTGTATTATAAAACAAGAAATCATTGGTTGGAAACTTAGATGTCAGATTTCGGTTTCTCTCTGTTTTAGTTGAGATGTCGGATATTGGTTTCTTTCCATTTTAGTCTTTCTTGCTTCTGTTATTGCTTTAGAAGGCCCCTTAGATACACTTATAGAAGTATCAGTGTTCATTGATTTTTGCTTTCAGGTCGGATAGTCATGGGCCTATTCGGTAAAAGCGTTCCAAAAACTGCAGGTGAATAGCTCAAATATTTTGCTGTTCTTTGATCTTCTTTTCCATGAAAAGATTGTGCAATTACTAGTTGGTTGTTATGAATCATATTTTTTTTCTTTTTGCAGAGAACTTCCGCGCCCTTTGCACAGGTAGCCACGTAATGTTTATTCCCTTCTTATATTGGAACTTTGTATGGTTTTAGTGCACGAATTCCCTAATATATATGAAGTAATGTGATTTATTTCTTATTAGCACCAAGCAGGCAGTACAATATATTAGTAAGATTGCAACGGTTTAGTGAAGTTTTCTGTAATAAAGTGATAATCTTTTTATTAATTGTGTAATTTTCACTCATAAAAGCAACTTATCTTCGCATAATTAGCATGTAAACTTAAAAACATCTGTTCCTGGAAGTTTTTGGCAATGGCCGGGCTGCCTTTTTCTCAATCTCAGTATGCATCATCGTATTCTGGACCTTAACATTCTAAGTAGCTTATCTGTGTATTTGCATCTTGGTTGTTTAGGTGGTTAATGAAAAATATAATCTTTGTTTATTAGGATTAAAACCTTTATTCGAGAGTCCTATAGTGTTGTTTAGCAGGCCTTAACACTATTAAAAAAATGTCTGAATACCAATTAAGAGTATTGTTGTATTGGATGATAATATCTCGATGTATATAAACATGCGGGATTTGAAATTTTAGTTCGTGAAAGAAAGGTGACTGCGTAATCGAATGAACAATGGATCTATGATTTAGTTTTGATGCTCGACTTTTTTTTTAGCTCTGATTAGTTAACCGGGAATATTCACTACCTTTAGCTGCCTACATATATTTGTTCCTTATATTACAGGGGAGAAAGGAACCGGAAAAAGCGGGAAGCCTCTTCATTACAAAGGGAGCACTTTCCATAGAATTATTACCAGCTTTATGATCCAGGGTGGCGACTTTACTCGTGGCGATGGACGAGGTGGAGAATCTATATATGGTGAAAAGTTTGCTGATGAGAATTTCAAGCTCAAGCATAACGGGCCTGGTGAGTTGTGATCCTTATATGGCTTATAAATTTCCTTGAACACATTGTTTCTATAAAAGGTTTTTATTCATTGGTGAAATAGTAAACTCGAACTGCAAACCTGGAAAGGCCTATAAGAAGTATATTATTAATTGTTTACTCTTTCAATCTTTTTCATTATGAGCAGGACGACTTTCAATGGCCAATGCTGGGAAAAACACCAATGGATCACAATTCTTCATCACAACTGTAACAACCAGCTGGTATTTGATTTGTCTCCAAACTTTTTATCCATGTTACTTATAAAACTACATGTATCCGTCATATATGTTCGATACATATTCAGATATAGAGACACGAGTACGATCCTCTAAATATATGGAAAATTTAGAGCAAATTGAGCTACCAACTTTAGACACATTACTACCTGGCAATAATCTCCGAGTTCAGATAATATAAGCATTTTCCCTATTTTTCTTCCTTGTGAAATATGTGGAAATGAGTAACATCAGTTTCTTATCTCGTGAGCAAGTACTGTACTTCAACCGTGTTGCTATTTACGTATGCAATTTTCCCTAGCTCACACATATGCGTGCTATTGATTTTTCCTTGAAAGGTTGGACGGACATCATGTCGTATTTGGCAAGGTGATTACTGGAATGGATGTCGTCTTCAAGATAGAAGCCGAAGGAAACAAGAGTGGTGTGCCAAAATCTAAAGTTGTCATTGCAGATAGCGGCGAGGTGCCTTTATAATTTACTCACTTTGTTTCAACTGAATGTAAACTTTTAGAGTCTGTTTTAATTGATAACATTCCCTTGTAGAGCATACATCAGTTACTTTCTTACTGCCATATTGAAGAAATGATTTAACGTTTGGGTTTCGAACATCTTTTCCGTGTCGTTTTGGTGTTATTCCCGAAGGTATGTTCTTTTTTTTCCCGTATGTCTCTCGTGGTTTTATCACCAACTGTCGAGCATCCTTTGATACTCGTGCAGGTGATAAAGCCTCGAGGGACCATGGTCTGCAATTACGACCAAACTATACAATAACATATCAAAACATCTCGATCATAAGTCAATACAAAACAGAAAACATAAATCCCAACAATTATCTCAAAAAAGTTCCAATAGGAATTATTTCAAGCAGCAAATAAGACACGGCTATGACACCTAAAAATCCCTTTTTTATTATTTCTTTTTCCATATTTTTATTATTAATAACGAAAGTTTCAGCCGTCCCTGTTGTGTCCATTGCTGTGTTGTTGAAACGCAGAGGAGAAATTGGAAGACATATCAGAGTAAAGAGAGACAACCTTGGAAATGTTCCCATTGAGTTCCTGAATGAGTGCAACGTTTTTCACCATGTTGTCTGGGATCTTGGACTGGTGATTCTCGTTGACCTGTTGGATCAACGCTCGGTTCCGGTCCAAAACCGACTGGACCTGCTTGAAATTCTTGTCCAGCGTTGCCCAAACCTCGGGGTTGCCCTCAACATAATCGGAATCATGGTTCCGATGATGCTTCAGTTTCTTGTTTGCGTTGTTTCTCGGGTTGTTGGCCATGGTCTTTTTCTTTCTTTCAGAAAATGGAGTTTTTTCACACTTGCATATAAGAAAGAAAGGCTATAAGGATGATGAGAGCATGTTTTAGGGTTTGAGTCATTGAAGAAATGCTGTGAGAAGGGGGAGAGGAGCTTTGGGGTATAAATTGTTGAAGGATTAGGATCGGGTAACCATGGAAAAAACCCGAAAAGGGTTGCAACTTTGAAGAAAGCTTCGTTTCACGCGCGACCAAAAGCGAGTGTGAATAAACATTTATATTCTCGGACAGCAATTAATCAGTAATATTTGCATTGTGCGTTAATAGTTAATACCGATAATGATTCTAAGTTTCTAATCTTAAATCGATATAAAATATTTTATAAATTTTTACTTTTTTTTAGAAATATACACAGAACACTTCATATAATCCCAATCGTGATTGCGAATGTTTCTGGTATAATAAATAATAATTCTATAAATAATAGTTTATCTTATCATAAAAGCATTCATTAAATAATTTTATTGTAAAAGAGAGATTTGGTTCGAAATATGTTGATAGGTGAAAAACACGTGGCTTGCATGAGAGTGGTTATGAAAGGTCATTGGAAATATCTTAGGCTGTACCCTTTTTGTCAAAAAAGGGCAAGAAGAAAGTAAAGGTGGCAGCAAAATATCTTGGAATATAATAAATATCACAAAGGGAAAACGTGCACTTTTTTTATTCCTTTTTTTCCTGGATTCTCACCACTTTTCTTTAATTTATTTATTTTAAGTTGCACTTTTTAGCACTTCTTCTAAATAAAATGACAAAAAAGGAAAATAAGAACAATTTTCAATTTGAGCATGTTATGGTATATTTGGTTTTTTTAAAATTATTAGGTATTTAGATCCATTGGTATATGATTGTTTTAGTTTAGTTAAGATTTCGAGTTTAGAATTATAATAATGTTAAATATTTTTTGGGAAAACTTTTTTGTCCTTTCATTTTTTATGTGATCCAACAAATTTAGTCTTTACTTAGATCGTTTAATGAATAAACGATGAATACTCCTAATTAATACAAAAATAATTTTGTTCTTCTCTAAATATAACATAGAAGGAAAAATATGAGTGAATGTAATAGTTTTGATTGAATTTAGAATCTTAGAAAAAAAAATAAAGGTTTTGAGTATCTAATTCAAAACAAGCTTGCTTTTTTATCTATATCCTATTACATCAATGTTCTATTTAAAACTCCAATGAATTTGATGTTATTGACTAATAGCACATCATTTTATGTTTTTCTCTTAATTTTTTTATTCTTCTTGTTTTAACCTAAATTAAAATTTAATTAGATCCTAATCAATCAATTATCATCCACTAACATTGATCATCATCAGTTATCTTGACGTAATAAAAATTTCATAAAATATGTTTTTAACTTGTATTTTCTTCTTCTTAAACCCGAATATTATAAATATCTCAAAGTTAAAAGGTGCACTTTTGTTCTTGAGTTGAGGTATATTTGATTGTTTTATTTTAAAGAAAAAACGATTTTATTAATTATTAATTGATTAGACTAATTGATATAAGATTATTTTAATTGTTAAATGAATAAATGAGGAACACTTGTGAATCATACAAAAAATATTTTATTAAAGAACAAGTTTTTTAAAAGATAATGTAGAGGGGAAACGAGTGAATGTAATGATTTTGATTGAATTTGAAATCTTAGAAAAAAATATAAAAGAAAGTTTTGGATTTTTATATAAAAAATAATTTGACCTTTATTCATATTGTATTATATATATATATATATTATATTTGAAATTTTTTGATTAAATTTAATATAATTGATTAATCAAATATTAATTTGTTAAAATTACTAAATTACTTTTATTTAAAAATATAATTTCTAATATTTTAATAATATTTTTGTCTTCTTATTCTTTTATATAATCTTTAGATTTAAAAATCAATACTAAAAGAATGAGCATGAGACTAACAGATTAAAACAAAATTTATTTATCACTCCACCTAAGATTATTTTTTTAAGAAATATATATTTTTATGTATAAAACACTTTCTTTCAGTCCCAACGAGTATGATAAAATTTAGTATATAATAAGTTTTTAATTTAGCTGGTGTCACAAGTCAATCAAAAACGAATTTTTTATTAAATGAAAATATTTTTGTATTTTCATAGTGTAGACACCCGTTTTTTTTTGGGTCTACAAAAATATTTTATTATATTATATATTTATTTATTTATTATTATTATTATATTTTTATTTTATTATTTTTACAGGTCCCGCATTCAACAACTTCGATTTAGTGAGATTCAGAAAATAAACCAACATTTTTTAATCTTATTGAAACACTAACACCAACGTATTTGAGTTCTATTGAAACACTAAAACCAAAGCATTTTGAGTTTAAGTATGACTCTAAATCTGAGCTAAAAATAGGTTCATTTAGACTATAAATAGACTCATGCATCAAGAGGAAAGGACACAGAGAAAAACGTGGAACCAAAATCAGAGGAAGAGGCAACGATTTGAAAAAACTGAGGGAAGAAAAGGACAAAAAATAAGCGTGGATGATCCAAAGCCAGTATCTAAAAGCACGAGGAGTGACAGAGCATTTTCATTGCAAATCTAGTTTCTCTACACGCAAAATATGAGAGGATGTAACAACTTTTGACTTATTTTTTTATTTCATTTATTTATTTATTTATTTTATATATATTTTTCATTTTCTCCTAATTTTAATATTTTTTTATTTTTTTATTTTTTTACATTGTTATATATATATATATATATATTTATTTTTTCATTTTTTATTAATATTATTATATTAATATTTTTTATTATTCTTTTCTTATGTTTATTTTCATTTTTACAATCTAATACTTTTGACTTTTTAGAGATATTTCAATCGATCAAAGATAAATAATTCGAATTGAATTTTTAAATTTTGATTTTTGCGATTAAGACAACCGAAAAATTAATTGGTACCAAAAGGGCGGTTCAAGTGTTCTAATCCTTCCTTGACTGTACCCGACTACCGAACCCGACATGTTTCTGGTACAACGCAGATCAGGTAAAATGGTGTCCGACCTACCTAAATTCGTTTTAAATGGTCGGCGACGATTCCAATTCATTTAATCCAAGTCGAAGCTCAATTCGGGACCCAACCGAAAGACGGTTCCGACACATAGTTTTATATAATATTTAAATAATAATAATCACACGTAGAATGTTTAATAAAAATTTAGGCTTTGCCTATGATCACCTTGGAGACCATGTGGAATGTCTGTTTTCTAGTTAGTCTTGAAGCAACAATACAAGTGCTAAAGCCTCGGAACATGTCTTCCAAATCGGGTAATCTGAAAGAGCCTGCTCAATCATTCAAGCTTTTTATGATACAAGACAACATTGCAAACACCATGTTGGAGTATGACTTGTTCTCTGATTGTCAAATTCTAATACCGAACCGGAGCTGGATGCCATTTATGACCAAACATAACGCTGTTTGTTAAGATCAATATCAGAATAATGATACCAGCAAGCTAATTAGGTTTGCTTGCATAACATTGTCACTATTGCTGTCTAATATTTAACGGTAAGCGATCTATTTGTAATAGTATTTTAATTGAGTGATCTGTTTGTATTTTTAGAAGAAAAATGACATGTTTGTTGTCTAATTCATAGTTAAATGACCTTGAGTGTAAGTTACCCTAAACATTTCCACCTTTAATATGACCGAAGGAGATCAAGCCAAAACAAAACTTACATCTCACTAGTATTTGGGACACAAACTATATAATTACATATATTCTCAAAGCAGATTTTCATGGAGAAACCAATAGTCCTGCAAGCACCAGATGCATTTTGAATAAAAGAGAATAGCTGCACTTTACCTGACCTAAGCAACTCAAGTCTATTGATATTATGACACCTTAGGTACCTGCAACATGTGAAATCAAGAAAATGCCTAAACCATCATATTAATTTTGTCAAATGTAGCCAAAATAAATTTGAATAAAGCATTTATCTGAAAAGTAGTGCAATTTTATGTTCCTTAAGTCATGTAGTGACTGGCCATTTTGTTAAGAATAAAGCAATATGTTTAAGAAGATCTCATAGAATACCTGCAGATTGAGCAGGCATATGAAGTTTCTCCCTGACGACGCAAGCTAGTTGGACGAAGAAGCTTGTCTCCAATAGAACAAAGCTTAGAAACAACATAACTCATGTCCATCCGCTCAATAGGTGATTCGGCAGAACAAATGAGTCCTATTTGAAATATTGAATTCAAGTGTTGAAGATGTATGCCATTAAGGGTAACATCTGCAAGTCTTCCTT